TAGTTACAAAGGTTTTGGTATGTATGAAAACACAAGTTCAGTCAAAAAAAAAAAAAATGAAAAGAACACTCCAGGCAGAGGGAACAACCTGAGGAAAATCATGGCCCAGCATGTCTATGAGAGCTGAAGAGGGTAGAGTAAAATGCAAAATTTTGAAAATTCAGCTGAGTTATAACAATTTTAGAAGTGTATCCCTATAAGAGATTGTTGTTGCTCAGTTGTTTCAGTCCTGACTCTTTGTGACCCCATTTAGGGTTTTCCTGCCAAAGATCCTGGAGTGGTTTGACATTTCATTCTCCAGCTCATTTTACAGATGAGGAACTGAGGTAAATAGGGTTAAGTGACTTGCCCAGAGTCACAGAGCTAGTTAAGTGTCTGAGGCCAGATTTGAAGTCAGGAAGAGGAGGCTTCTTGACTCCAGGCCTGGCATTCTATCCACTGTGCCACCTAGCTGCTTCTGGAATGGATGGAGGTGGGTTATTAGCCGTCTACCCAACCACTAGTATTGCCTCCAGTTGTATAAAAAAGAACTAGTCAGTCCTATAAGAAGTTCCCCTTGAAAGTATCATTAACTAAGTAATAATATTCTAAGTTCTTTACAGAGTTCAGAGTAATAAAACAGCTGTAGAACCTCACTTCCGGGTTTTCCTGTTAGCTTTAGCAAGACAGCATCACAAGAAGATTGCGACAGAGAACTTGTAACACTGTTATAGCAGAAGCCGCTCACTCACCTTTCAAGGAAACTAGTTGAACAATACTAACAAACAGCTGATTGTCAAAGAATTAAAGGTGCTAAGATCTTTCTAAAAACAACATTTATTATGATATTAAAAAAACCTGAAGACCTAATCAATTTTGTATATGTTGATTAGTCCTATATTGTACTCACCTATAACAAAGAAATATTGTAAATCCACTTTAAGTATTTAAGCTTAACACTGGTGCTACAAAAACTGCAATAGCAAAAAGCCTATGTGTGAAATACAGATTTTAAACATAAAAATTTAATTAAAGTTCTTAAAAGTCCATCTGCCAAGTCATTCAAAAAAATCAGAACCAAAGAAGTCCAGAAATTTAATTCCTATTACAATATTTTAATACCCACAACTAATAACAATAAATCCATTTTTAAAACTCTTTAATATATAAAACAAAGGGGAAAGGAGACAAAAAAAATCTGCCTTAAATCCTATTGCCAAATTGCTAAACACTGTAGGTTTTCAAGTCAGTCAAAGCCGCATCTTATTACCTTACTCCAATCTAAGCCCTAATTTTGGAACAGTGTGCTCAACAGCCTATCATGAAATTCCGACAGATGAAAAAGTAATGAGTGGCTATCATGCTGATCTATTTAAAATACTATTCATTATATAAGAAAATAAAAAGCCTACAAATATCTGTCAAATTATTGTATTTAGCATTGTTCTAATATACTTTCATTAAACTGAAAACCAAATGTTTACACCTATATTTTTGATTAGTTGTTGGCACCTTTAAAATGGTTATCTCATTTATTTCTAGGCAAATGTTATTATAAAAGACATATAAACAGTTAAAATATTAGTAAAATCAGTTTCCATCAGTACATGATAGAAATACTACATACCTTACATAAATAAACTAACAAATATCTCAAAATACTACTGACTGAACCAATTAACCTCACCAGGAAACCTTTAAAAAAAAAAATCTCTTTTAGAAAGTATGTCAAAATTCCACATCTGAGCATCTAGTACTTAGAAACAAAAATACACTGACTTATTTGAAGATAACAAAGATTCAAAAACCTACCAAAAATACAAGATCACTCCACAGACAAAATATTAACTTTCTCTCTTTAGAAAAGACAACATCACCTGAAATAATATGCATCCTGAACAATTTTAGCCCAACTAAATAAAATACAGTATGCTTGGAAAGGGGAGGAAAAGAAAAAAAGAGCCACGTTGCAGTCAGTAGTCAGGATGAGTCATCATGGAACTCATAAAACTTGCTGTTCTTCTAAACCCCTCATAATAAAAAAAAAAATGTACATTAACTGAGTCAGCAAATGCTACTTTATCAGCCTATGAAAATTCTCAGAATTAGTGCATATGTAAAAACAATACAAAACTTTTTAAGACTGACAGGATCCAGAACCTGTTAAATTTATAAAATAAAAATCAATTATTTCTTCTACTCCAAAAGAAAATTATCTCTTGGTGGTTTGATTGGATTGTTTGGAGGTTTTGGGAGAGGAGGAGAGAGTACAGTTCTATTTATTTATTTATTTGCAGGAGTTTAATGATGAAAGAAAGAAGTCAATCTATTTCAGTTTTGAAGAAAGGGGTAGACTGATAAGCTCCAAGAACGGAAAGAAATGATATTTCTCATTACATCTTTATTATCTATTATCTTTCCCACGACAGAGTTCTGCATATAGTTGACGATTAATAAATGGACGTTCAATTGAAACTGAAATACGAATTCTAGTCTTTGTGTTAAACTTCTGAAATCAACAAAGAGTATTATTTAAAGCTTTTTTTAAAAAAAAATTTCCATTTTCTAAAGTTTTTCTTTACAGTAATATAAAGAGGACAAAACCTATCATTCTCAAATCTGGCATATTTTCTAGCTTATTTTAAGACCAGCCCATGAAAAAAGTGCATTCAGAAAAATAAAACAAGAAATATTATAGTACTGTATATTCTGATCTAAAAGTTTTTTACAACCTCTTACTAAACAAATAAGTATGTATGTTTTTTGGGTTTTTTTTTTTTTTCAGATTGAAGAGGGAAAGAAAGCACGAGCAAGTGTAAGAAGTTTCCTTCAAGTGCTCTGCTCTAGATCCTTGATTCGTCTAGTCAGAAAATTCTTTCAAAGAATCCCGTTGTGAAAATTACACTTGTGATTAATAAACTAAAAAACAAGATGAAGCAATTCAGAATTTGTTCAAAATAAACAGGACAGAAAGACCAGCCAAACAATTTGATAAATTGTTTGATACTGCAATCTAGTCCAAATGTCTGATGCTACTCCATTCCCCATTAACTTTCCCCTCCAAAGAAACTTCTCTCCTAACAGATCACACCAAAGCTGAAAATGAACTTTTAAAATAGAATCATTTTTAGCAGTTACACAATACTCTAAGAGCCATATCAGTTCATCTACCATTACCGTGTTCCTAAATAGAGTTCACTGTTCCCCTCATTGAATCTTTCCAAAGGGTGGACAAAAGTAAAAAAAAAAAATCATTTCTTTTCTTTTTTACAGACTAAACAATCCTAACCAATTGGAATTAAATGAAGTAAAAACTCCATGACTTTTCAATGCATCTCAGGGAAGTCATGGGTCAGAGGGTTCAAAATTAAGAAGGTGAGGACACACTAACTCTAGAGTGAATTTCACAGAACTGACAGACCTAATTTTTACAAATTCTGGTCTCTTTACAAGCTACCACCCTACACAGCTAAGGAAAAAAAAATGACTTTGAAATACACAAGGAAATTGGCCAACAAATACAAAATCGCCTTTTCTGCACCCCAGGTCAGCCTAGATTAGTAACTGGGGAGGATTTTAAACAATTCCTAATGTGCAACTGATACGTAATTTATCAAGTTAAGTCCTCGGGTGCCTTAGCCTCAGAAGTCAGCTGAGGCAGAGTCACTGGGGGGAAGCCGGAGGGAGGGAGGAAGAGGAGATCCGGGAAACTATTTCGACCAGCAAAATGCCAGGAAGGCATGAGAGTCCCCGTCACTCTCTTTCACCCGGCACCACAAACCGCTCCTGGGATTTCCCCCTCCTCCAGGGGCCCACCTACAAGCCCCAAGCTATTCAAATCTCTGCCCTTAAGGAACAAGGGGTAAGAGATCGAACGCCCACCTCTCCTAGAAAAGGAAAAGTGATGGAAAAGCTGAGGCCTTGGGAGAAAGAAGAGGGTGGGGGCGGCGCTGAGTCCCCTGGGCAGTGGAGGGGGATCTGAGTCCCCAGGGCGGTAGGGTGGACTCTAAGTGCCCAGCTCAGGAGAAGGACCATAAATTCTTGGGTCGAGGCGGGTGGGGGGGGGGGGGTTCAGAGTCCCTGGGGCAAGGGAGGACCATAAGTAGTTCCCAGGTCTGGGGGGCTCTAAGTCCCTGGGTAGGAGCACAAGTCCCCGGGGCAGTGGAAGACAGTAAATCTGCGGTGGGGTGGGGGGAACCTAATCCTGAAGCATTAGGTGGCTTAGAGTACCTGCAGCAGGGGGAGATCATAACTTCCCAGGTCGGGGGTGGGGCTCTAGGTCCTGGGAGCAGTGGGGGCTGGGGGGGGGAAGGACCATAAGTTCCCGGGACAGTGGGAGAATGTAGGTCCCTGGGACGGAGGTACAAGTCCTTGGGGTAGAGGAGGGGCCTCCCCAAGCTAAGGTACCCCCGCTACGAGGCCACCAAGGAGGAGTCAGGACACCCTGCCCCCCCCCAGACCAGGAGAAAGGGGACAAGGAGCGTACCACGCCCCCCTGCCCCAAGCCGGCAGCGGCCTCCCCCCAATCCCGCCTCCCCCTCGGGCGGTGGGAGGGACGGGCGGCGCGCCCCACGCCGCGGTATCCGCTTCCCTAGCCCCGCTGGAGGGGGGGGGCGAAGCCCGGCAGCCGCACGCGGATGCACCCCCCCCGGGCCCAGGCCGGTCCACGCCGGTCCGGCTCGGGGGAGGAAAGGACGTGGCCCGGCTAGAGAGGCCAGGCTGGGCATGGGAGAGAGCTGGAGGAGGGGCGGCGGGAAGGAGACAAAACAAAAGCGCCTTTGTTAAGCGGCCGCCACCGCCGCCGCCGCCGGAGGGAGGGTCACACACAATGGAGAAGGAGGAGGAGGGGGGAAAGAGAGAAGAGGGAGCCGAGCCGAGCCGGCCCCGCGGCCGCCACCGCCGGGCCCTCCCGGACTCGGTGTCTCGTCCCCCCCCGCCCCCGCCGCCGCCGCCGCCGCCGGCCGCCCGTTTCCACCCCCCCAGCGGCCCTCAGCCCCCACCGGCACACCGAACACACTCACGGGACTTCTCCGACTCATCGAGGCAGTGCAGGGCCCGCGGACAGCCCCTGAGGTCGGCTCCGGTCTCCGGCGGTGTTGGCGGCAGCGGCGTCTCCAAGGCTCTCGCTTTGCCGCAGTCGCCGCCATGTAACCCCGACCCGAGAGAGAGGGCGAGGGAGGGAGGGGGAGGGGGGAGGAGATGTGCAGGGGAGGGGCCTCTGCGGGCCACGCCTCCTACGGCTACGTCACAGGCTCCCTAGCCGGGTTCCCAGCCCCGGGCCCCCGCCCCACACACACCCCAATCCCGGGCCTGCTTCCTTTTTTCCCCTTGGCTGCTTGCCACCGACACGCGCAGGAATTTCAAACGCCGGGGACTGAGGCCTTCGCGCGGCGATGGGTGAGGGCAGGAAAGGCTGAGGGATCGTGCGCCTCGTGGTGCTCTAGCTGTACCGGGAGAGGCCGGGTAGACGGCGAGTAAAGAGGATGCTGCAGAACCCCTTGTGCCGTCCTGGCTCCCGGGGCTCCCATGCTCTGGCAAAAACACGTCGAGGAGTAAAAAAAAAAAAAAGCGTTACTATTCTGCATACAACTGTGGACTTCAGTCCAAGGGGCCCTGATCCAGGTCTGTGAAATCTGAAATTTTTGAACCAATCAATTTAGGTAGAGACAGAAGGACCCGAAGTAGGCATGGGAAAGACTCATCTATCTGACAAGGCTTGTAAAGACTAACCTTCCAGTCCAGTCAGGCACTAACCTTTATTAAGCGTCTTCTGTGAGCCAGGTACCGTGCAAAGTGCTGAGGATACGAAGAAAGGTATGACAGACAAACCCTGCTCCCAAAGAGCTCTTAGTCTAATGGGGGTGACAAAACATGCAAACAATTATTTACTAATAAGCTATACACAGGATAAACTAGAAACAATCACCAGAGGAAAGGCTTCCTGTAGAAAGTGGGATTTTAGCTGGGATTTGAAGGAAGCCAGGGAAGCAAAGGAGATGGAGATGAGGAGGGAGAAGATTTTGGCTGAAGTTCCGTGGCAAAAGATTCATGTACTAGAGGTTCTTAATCTGGATCCCTTGAGCTTTTTTTTTTCAAAATATGTTGACAAATGTATTTCAATATACTTGATTTTTTTTTGTAATCCCAAGTATTATTTGCATTCAAAAATGTCACTCAGCCAAGGGGCTGTAAGCTATACCACAGTTCTAATATTATTATATTTCAGACCCCAGCTCTACTATTTGCTATCTTTGTGACTTGACCAAGTCATTTCCTGGGACCTTAGGTTCTTCCTCTATAAAATAACATCTTTTTCTCATATCACACCCCTTTTCCCCTGTCACCCACCAAACAGCAGCAGGCAGCCAAAGGGGTGCGTGGCAAAAAAAAAAAAAAAAAGTTAAGAACTCTTAAGAACCTAAACGAACATCTCTACATCCTTTGGGAGCATAATCTACTAGGCCACATTCTCTCTCTCTCCTAGCCAGGTTCTTATAAGGTATTTGCTTTTCTTTGTACTCCCAGTGCTTAGTAAATGCTTATTGACTGACTCATAAAGCTTTGCACCTGGGCTGACAACGTCTACAATATTACCAAATGTTTGAAAGGTTATCACACGAAACAAGGAAGAACTTATTTTGATCTGCAGAGCAAAACTTGGACCAATGTGTGTTAATTATAGAGAGAGGCCAATTTTGGTTCAATCTAAAGAATTTTCTTTTAATCAAAGTTAACTCACAGTGGAGTGGGATGCCTTGTTTGTAGTAGCACCCTACTGAAGCATTAAGAGCACCGGATTTTGAGTCAGAGGTCCTGGTTTCAAACCCCAGCTTTACTATTTGCTATCTTTGTGACCTGGATATGTTATTGTGTCATTACGTTCCTCCTCTATAAAAAGATGTCTTCTTTTTCTCATACTTTATACCACTGAATGAAACACCTTACCCAGCTTCAGGTACCCAGTATTCTAAAGTAGAGCAGCTCATAGCCTTCCTGTTTGTGGCCAAGCATGTTTGCATGAGAAAGGCAGGAACTTGGAACAAAGGATTCGAGGTGAAAGATGTTGACTTTCGGAGGACTTTCCTACCCTTTTTGTATTTAGCAGTTTATTCCTCTGACAAATCCCAAAGAGCTTGTGGGGCTTGACTGAAGAAAAGGTCCCTCAGACCCTTTTGGTTTTGTCAGAATGCAGCCCCCCCCCCCCCCAGTGGTTTAAAGGGGAAAGGAGATTGACAATCATTAGTTGAATGGAGTTAAGAGGACCTTCTGAAACTAAATCCAGCTCCTTCTCCCCACCCCCACTTCCTTTGGAGCAAAGCAGATAGGAGTGTAGTGAGTTTGCCCACAGCTTTTTCTGCCAAGCCCTGAGGAGATTTGAGGTGAGTGGAGTCCAGACTTCCCAACCCATTAAATAGCAGCATCAAGGGCAGCGGTCAAGGAACTAAGTTCCTTATTTAAAACAAAACAAAACAAACAAACAAACAAAAAAGCCCACAAATGTGATAGAAGTCAAAGTGCTTGCCTGAGAGGGAAGCTCAGAATTAACTTTTGTAGGCCTTCTGGATAGTGTACTAGTTCCCTAGCTGCTTCCATCCTTTAAGACTGGGGGCGGGGGGGGGGGGGGGGAAGAAGAGGTAATGAGGTTTCTTTTCAGCTTTAGGGAATTTGTTTTAGACAAAAAGCTCGGAATTCAGTCAGAATTAAATCAAGCCCCCAGTTACAAAAATTTTTGACATTTAGGCAGAGATTGGGCTCTCTGCCTAACGTTATATTTATATCTTTCTCTAGTGAGCCCCTGGCCTCTTTGTAGTTCAGGCAAAATTCAATTTACTTGAAACATTTAGGTAATGAAACAGCAGCAAATATTATAGTTTCTGTAGATAGACAGTGACCAGAAAGGGAAGTTGGGGAAAGAGATGACCTTTTCCTGGAACTTGTTCCCTCAGCCCAGGTCTTTGGCTTAGAGATGCCTGTAGAGCAATTAATCCTCTTCTATATCTTCCTTTCATACTATCTCAGGCCTATCTTCACCCCTCAGAGGCTTGCTGGAACACCAACTTCAGTCAAGGCAACAAGCATTTATTAAGCACCTACTACATGTCAAGACACTGCTAAGTGCTGGGGAAGCAAAGAAAAACAAAAAACAGTCCCAGCCGTATCATAGTCTAATGGGAGAAAAACATGCAGCCAACTGTATAGGTAGTGGCTAATGTACGGGACGTAGAGTCAGGAGACCTGAATTCAAAATCCAGCCTTATATATTTACTACTGTGTGACTCTGGGCAAGTGGATTAAATCTCTTGTCTGCCTCTGTTTCCTCATCTGCAAAATGGGAATAATAATAGCACCTACCTCCTTGGGTTGTTGTGAAGATTAAATGAGATAATACAGTGTGTACCAAAAGTTTTAGGCTCTTAAAGCTAGGAGGATGATGGTGCCCACACAGGAATAAGGAAGTTTTAAAGAGTGTAATGATAGACCCCCAACAATTTTGGACCTGTTTAGTTTAAGATGTCTTTCAGACATCCACTTTGAAATGTTTAATAGCCATTTAGAAATTCAAGACCAGAAGTGCTGAAAAAAGTAAGGACTGGATAAGTAAATCTGAGCATCATCTGTATAGAGATGACATTTGAATCCATGAGAATCAGGTAAGATCCCCAAATGAAATAGTATAGAAGGAGAAGAGAAGGTTTAGGTCAGAGCCTTGGGGACATTCATAATTATTGGGTGTGTCATGGATGAAGATCCAGCAAAGGAGACTAAGAAGGACTAGTCAGACAGGTAGAAGAACTAGGAAAGGGCAATATCAATTCACAACATACTTGCTCCAACCTCTGTGCTTCCAAACCTTTCTCCTCTTGTATAAATTCCTTTGGACGTGACCCTGTCTCACACAATGGTTTTGGTGATTCAAGGAGGTGGACAGGCCCTAATCAAACTTAGTTTTGAAAGGCAATACTTTTTAAGTGGATGAATTAATCAGTGGAGTCCTACCTGTATACTGGGAAAGACCAAAATCAAACTCCCATGTGCCCCTGCCCTCAAGCCAGGAATGAGGGGTTCTTGGGGATGAGACAAAAAGAGCAATAAGTTTAACTACTTGTAATATTAAAATAAGTTTCTGAAAAATCGTATTGTAAACTTTTTGAGGTATCATACCAAACACTTAGCTATACTCGAGAATGCCTATTTGAAACATTTTTTAAGTCAAAATATAATACAATCACTCCTAATTTACTTGATTTTGTAAACAGGATATTCTTAAAATGGGACAAATTTTAAGATGGGTAGATTTAAATGAATAATTGAATCTGTTGTTAAAGGAGTCATTTTTATCCTCTTAACACAAGGATAAAAGTGTCTCTTGGCTTCAGGGAAATTCAGTTCAGGTTTTGCCTATTGCTTTGGCAAGCTGCCCTGGTTTGTGCTCCTATCTTGACAGTTCTGTTAGCCTAGGAAGAACAGATGTACCAAATTTCTAGACACAGTCCCTTTGTTTTAACCTTGAGGCTCTCAAAACTGCAGTATTTCCACCACAGTGACTGATCCCCGAGAAGAACACGGTCATGACCATAACCACAGTCAGTAAATTAGGAGAAAGGGTACACCTGAATGTCCCTAACAGCAACCCTGACCCCCAGTGAGATATAAGCATTTTGAACTTGGGGATGAAAGGAAATTTTGCAACTCAGGTCATTCACCCTGCTTCACAGTACTTCAGTGTCCAAGTCTACACACTCATTTCTGGAAGGTCGTGACAATAGCTCGATAAATGAAATGTATAAAGATTCAGGAATAATAAACTTGCCTAACGCAGGATTGCTTCAATTGCAAAGAGGATCCAGTGGGTAGGACCTCAATAAACAGCTATTTAATAAGATAAAAGACAGTTTATTAGTAGCAATTGTTTCATTTTAACAATCTCTGATGGTCTGGTAGAGGTTACTTCTCTAGGTCTTTAGCTCTACAGATCCAGACACTTGGTTACCAATTCCATAAGGACTGATTAATCTCTAGGAGTCACTAGAAAGAAAGAAAAAAAACACTGGAGGCTTGCAGTATATACCATAATGAAAAATTACTAGGAACATAAATATCAAAGTATTTCAAATCAGTAATACATATCTATCCAGTTTTGTATTCCATAGTAATGATGCT